AACTTGCCAAGCCCGGTGCTCAGGGCGCTTCAGCAGTCATCCAGCCACCCGCCGTGTTTCTGAGTTAAAACGTGTTTAAACCTGACAGGAAATGTTTAAATATTATTGTATAGTTATGCATTTTTGGAAGACTGGAAGATTAACACCTAAACACCAATTATAATTCTTTTTTACAAAAGGTTGTCTTAAAATCTAACCTGAATAAATTAACAATGTTATGCCTGGTGGGGGCAAAAGTAAAGCCTGGTGGCCCGCCAGGCTTATAACACAGAGGGAAACCCTGGCTGTGTTTCAATATAATTTGTTGATTCAAATCAGATGTACAAATGTATTGAACTTTACAAATATATTGTCTAGTGGATAGAACTGTTCAGAGAAAGCTAATTAGTATATTAAGTTTTTCACAAGAAATAAAGAGAACAGAGTTAAGATGGATAACAGTGCTCTTTTCAGATTAGATCAAAATTCAAGTTTTTGACCTGCATGTTGAACACAATGTCTGGCAGAAAACCAATGGTATACCCATATGGTGCCGTGAGGAAGATTTTCTTCCAGCAAGGACAGGAGAGTAGACTTCATCGGCAGATGGAAAGAGCTAAAAATATGACAACTTAGAAAGAAAATCTGCAAATGACTTGTAACTATAATTACAATGAAAGGAGTTCCTATAAAATATTGTTGCAGGGCGACTAAATACTAATGCTTGCTACACTTTGCTTATTCTTGCAATTTTTGCTGATCAACCACATAAAATCCCCAAGACTTTTATGAGGTTGAATCAGCAAAGTGAAACTGAAAATAATTATGATTTCGCTGATTGATTCTTTTAACGGCGAATGAACTTTGTATTCAGCAAGGTTATTGTAGACTTGCTGAATACAAAGGGCCACTATATTTTAATTTGAAAGTAAAGCTCTCATAAGATGAATCTACTGTTGGTATCAGGTAGAGTCATTTTCCTTGTTTATATCTGTCTACATTATGAAAACTTTGGGGTTATTAGTGCACATCTTTCCTGATATTCAAATGAATCAAACCCTTCAGTGGGTTACGCTAAGTGATGAAGCTATCAATTATCTGTTTACAACTTGTTGAAAACATTTCATATTTCTACCACACAGTTTGGAATAAATGACTGAATTCATACTCATTAGGACACTCTGGTAGAGGTGACCGATTGGCAGCAGCTCGCAGATGCTCATTAAAAGTTATACGGGGAATGTGTAAACAGTTCTGCTTTGCTGTAAACCCAGAGGAGGTTCATGACCCGTTACACTACAGTATGTTTGTAGAGACTGATTTGAAATCATGTGTCACATTCATTTGAGTGAAAATGAAAGATAATTGCGTTGTTCCCAGAAGATAATTGGTTCATAAAATTGCTAGTGAGCTGTCTGAAAAGTTTGAATTATAGTCGCCTCGTACAGTGAGCCAAATCTGACTTTTCACTGACTTTACTAACTGCCTCTGCTAGTTGAACTTCTTTTCTTTGGCAAACATTTACTAATGGTATTCTTGAAGGCTGTTTGTTTTATTCTCCAAACAGCCACAGGGCTGTGCATGTAATGTTAGCAAAAAAAAAAAATCTGAACACACATTATCCAAGCTGGTCTGGCTCTGCAGCGATTGCACCATGGCATCTGCTTTAGGCCATTATTGCAAAGTGACATTATGCACAATGTGAGCTGCATTATGCTCATCCGACCTTCTTAGCCTCCGCATTTCCTTTCAAAAAAGGAATTAAAATATATTGATCACCACAACAGGAGTCTGTTTTCACAGCTTTTAACATATTTGCGAGCGCAGCTTGACAGCAGAGTCGGATATTGTCTGCGGGCGAAGGACAATATGAAAGCTTTTGCTGGCTCAATCATGTTTGCTGTCAAATATTGCTTGTTTTTGTGTTGCATTTGTGTTTGAAGTTTGATCCAAAATGTGCCCTTACCATGAGAGAGCAGGGCCAGGATAGGGGTTTCAACCACCCACGGTCTAATCCTCCATCATCAGTCACGCAACATGGCCGTGGTTATGCGCTGCTAAATTAATTGAAACTAGTTTTACAGCTAGAAGCAAATGTGTTCTCAATACAATCCTTCATTTGCAACCTTTCAACATTTAATGCAATGAAAATATCACAACTATTTGCTGCTACTAATACAAAGAGATTCAACTGAAAGAACATCAATTTGTCTGCAATGTGTTTCTGTCGTCATCTATATAATGATAAATGTGTAATTCAAATTCAGAACTTTCATAAGCATTTTCAGTCCCTTTTTGACCATTTCATTATTATTTCCAATTTCTGACCGTTTCTAGTTATGTGTTGGCTGTTCAAAAAAGTTTTTGCTGCTCAAAAAGATCAATATATTCAATTTTGTGACTATATTTGTAGTCACCATATATTGTTCGAAGTCTTAACCTCCTCTGAATGAACTCCCCACTCAAATGTTAAGCATCAATCCATGCAGTTTTTTTTTTTTTTTTTTTATTGCAGTCGTGGTAAACATCTTAAATGGTGACTTTAACTCAACCATTCTCTCTCCTCTCATTTTGTGGAGAGCGATTTTAGTTGGAAAGCCTTTGAATTTTGGGTGATGTCATCCAGGTGCCCATTTTCATCAGCACAACTGCTTAGGAGCAAAGCAGGCAGGTTGGTCTGTCTGACCTAAGTGCATAAAAACTGGATTCGACTCTGAATAAAAGTGGTAGAGTTTCAGCTTCTTCTGAACACCATCTGCCAGCTTAAGCTACCATGTGGTTGGCAGTTTGAAAACCAAGTATTATATTCCTTCTACTTCTTAATTATGTGCTCGTTTGAGTTAGTTTGTCACATAAAATCCAAATAAAATGTACCCTAATAAAAACTTAATAAATAAATAAGTCAAACTTCTTTAGCCAAACCACTTTTCTACAATAAAAGGATCAGTAACATACTCCATCACTGAGACTATATATGCTGCTCGCTTTTATCCACCTTCCCTAACCTTTTCTCTTAATTATCCAACCTATTTCATTAAACTATCAAATGTTGTTTTGAACTATTTTGCCTCAATAGCCTTGATTTATTTATTTGTTTTGTTTTTGGTTGTTTATTTTCAATTTTCCATCTTCCTGCTGTATCATTCCTCAAACAGGATCATGGGAAGAATGCAGCTTAAAAACTCTAATAGAAACATTGACCTCAGTCTGCAATTTCCTTTCAATACTACAACCACCGAAAATAAATCTCTGGTTTTTGTTTAGTCTTTACTGATATGTGAGTACATTAGAAGATGTCATGGTCAAAATATGTGGATCTTTAGATGGCGACACACACTGACAATTTTTTTTGTTCTGGATAAGGACTTAGAATCTGCAACCTCCCAAAGAGAATAATAATCTTTTTCTTTTTTTTTTTTTTTTTTTGCTGAAAGCACTGCAGTTCCATGTGAGGAACATTGTGTGGAGCGTGAAATAGTTTCATAAAGCTTTAGGGTTGGAGGTGTGTTTGATTTATAAGTTTTTCACATCTGAAATGGAGGATACTTTCAAGCGTATCCTTTTTTTGATACCATCTGTTGTTTAGAAGCCAAAATGTGGGCTTCCGCATATATCAGAACTAATGGAAACCTAATGGGCCATCACAAAAACGCCATGAATATGAGCTGTGACATTTGGTGGAAGCAAACAATCCCGCATACAGTGACATGTTTTGTTTCTCATTACACAAATGACTTTTCCTTTCAAAGGATGGAGATTTTTCCCTCATTCAGTCAGATTGAAAATTACCTCTACCTATTCACACTTTATTGTAATGAGAGAGGCTACCATCTGCCATCTGCCACTTTTTACAGTCAAATCTCTTTTTTTCTCTCTCTGTAGACCTAATAAGACATCAGCCATAAATATCCAAACTGCATTTTTCTGTTGATGTGGTGTGCAACAATGTTGCAAAAATGGAAGCAAGCAAATTTGAGATATGGGCCTGCATATCACGATGTGTTGCTTATTGTTCAGCAGGGAGGAGTGTGTGTCTGCTTTTTCTCTAGTCATTTCAGTTAATAACGTGTCTTGAATATATATGTTCACTTTTTTCACTAGTACAATCTTCAATATAGTGCATGGAGAATTTAGAGATATAATTTATAGTGTGAGGAGTGTGTAGATGAGCTTGATTGACAGCGCTAAGACCTTCCTCCTCGCTCTGATTGGTGTATGTCTACAAACAACAGCAGATCCAGAGGGAGGAGGGCCATGTTATGCTGTCAGGACATAGTTTCAAACAAATATGTTAAAAATATATTTTCATGATATTAACTTTAAAGAGTAACACTGTCAGTAAGACAAGTTGACACAAGGTGAAACAAAGGTTTGAGATGGGAAAGTGGATTACAGTGGACAATTGAGTCATGTTGCAGAGAAGAAAATTCATGAATCAGTAAATTCATACTGCACCCTGAATAGGTTGTGGTCCCCTGTAGCACCGGGATATATATATAGTATATATATATATATATATATATATATATATATATATATATATATATATATATATATATATATATATATATATATATATATATATATATATATATATATATATATATATATATATATATATATATATATATAAAGTCATTTTACAAATTATTATAGTGGTTATAAACTCAGAAACCTAGTCTGTATTTTCCAGAAGGAGCAAGTATTTCAACTGTATTTTCAGAATATTAGAGTAAATAACAAGCTTCCATGTAATTAACTGCAACAATGTGGCTGAGGGTAAAGATTTATATTTTTGTGTTTCTATGCTGTTTTGATGTTCTTTCTTTTCGAAGTGCTCCAACGTGTTCTTTCTTTTTTTTCAACATTTTTATTACCAGAACAGAATGAATAATGCAAGATGTCTTTGTTAGCGTGACACACCTCTTTGTTTATTGCCATGCCGCTGCTTGTGAGCTGTAAAATATGTCTATGGTGGATGCCTGTAATGGAAGTCTGCTATGACCTTGTCCTCTATGCAGACGGACTGCTCCAGTGACAGTGAGAGCGAAGATAACTTCATAGTTGTCCCACCACGAGACCACCTTGGCCTGGCTATCTTCTCCATGCTCTGCTGTTTCTGGCCTTTGGGGATAGCAGCCTTTTACTTCTCACAGGGGGTGAGTCCACACACACACACACACACACACACACACACACACACACACCACACATCAGCATGCCTTCAAAGCTGCGGTCCGTTACACATGAATGATGCAGCATCTGTTTGTCAAGGTCTAACATTTTGTGCTTTCAAACACACAGAAATACAGATTTTCATAGATTCATCAGTGTGCACACACATGTACATTCCCTTGTCTTTTTTTTTTTTTGTGGTGCATGAGTCATTACCACAAGATTAAGAACCATCACTACCAGTAAAAACCTTGCAACTGACAGTCCTAATGCAAGGCCAACTTTTATTAAGCAAGCCATCAATAACTCAAGGCCAATCTGTAAGCCTGATGCTCTGTAAACACCATGAGAGCCTCCTTTAGTGGGAGTTCATAAATCACTTTTAAGGTTCTATCTCCGAACGCCAAGAAAGGAGGCTTTCAAAATCCTTAGGTGAGAAGGACCCTTTGAACTATTGCCGTTTTCAAGAGGATTAAAGATGAACCCAATTAAAGGTGTGCCGCTGTCTTTAAAAATGACGAGCTCTCGGAAACATTACACAGGCCTGTTTCAGCTGCTTTGCAGGAGGTTAGAGAACTAAAAAGTTGGAAAAAGTGGATGAGTCTATGAACAATTGTCCAAGTTTTATTCCTTTTATCCACATTTAAGGTGTATTTTTAACTCTTTAACGCAGAAATTATAATAGCCTTACTAGACATTCACAGTGAAAAAAATTAAATTAATTTCCGTAAATAAAGAGTTTTCAGATTTTCACTTTGATAGACAACATGCATTTAAACTTTAAACTCGTTGAGAAATAAATACATTATTCCTATTGGGTGAAAACTACATACTGTTTTCAAAATAATGTTACAAACGATGTTACTTTCAGTATTTGTTTCGCTTTACACTCGATAAAACCCTCACTGCCATCTACCCACCCTACTTTACCCGTTTGACCTGTGTGTGTTACCAATACAAATTTCTATTTTTGTCCTTAAGCTCTCCCAGATGGCAAATGCTTAGCCTCTTCAGCATCTTAAACTGCCTCACCATCCTCAGCTAAAACATTCCTACAACTAGTGTAACCACAGTCTTCCTTTTATGAGATACACTCTTTGGCTTCTATCTGTTTTTTGTTTGTGGGAAAGCAAGCTAACAACAAAAAGCACTAGATTTACAGATTTTTACAACTAAGTCTGTTAGTACTTTGTTAGTTGATGTTACAATAACATCATTTTTACTTGTAAGGATCTTGAATGAAAAGGATTGACAATATTCCAGAGGTGCTAACCATTTCTGGTTGCTCTCCAGTCATGTAAACACCTCTCCACTCGACTGAGTTCACTGTCAGAATTAGCTTAAACACCAGCTTATGTCAACAAAAGCTGTCTTTTGCTGACATTAAAAGCTAATATTAACCTGCTGAAGAGCAGCTAAGCTATCGGTTTAAATTGTGATATGGCTGATGAAAACATTTCTACAGCAATCGCAGTCATTCAGGAAAATGGCTTCTAAATATGAAATTACAATAAATTATTAAATTAGCTAATGAATATTTGACCCACATTTTTACATCAAAATTTACTATTGAGCTATAAATACACATCCATGACCCCAGTGCGTTTGAGTTTTAACCAAGAACAAAAGCAAGACTCCTCTAATAGATGTCTGTCGGCTTCCATCTAGACTTCCTCCCTCTTGCACGGTTTGCAGGAAACAGCTTGAACGATGCCGTGTTGCATAAAGAAGACAAAGACCAGTCCTGTCTTGCCGCTAACCGATTCTTTCCCGTGCATCATCAGCAGGACGTAGAGATAACATATTTAAGGGATATCATTAGCACACCCACGTGCTCACAAAAGCTAATTTAAAACCAGGCACTGTACCCGTGCATTTGCTGCGGATCGACAGCCATTTTACTAAATTGCCTTAGATGATAAAGCTTGAACATTTAACCATCTTATCTTTGGAGGCAAGGAGTTCAAGTCAGTCAGTGAATTATCTTGTCAGGAGCTAATTTGATTCTTCCTAAGCAATTATGAGAACATTGTGGCAGTGTTTAGGTACGGGGGATTTTTATGCCAGTCTCCCTGCTTTAGAAGTTCCATCAAGTAGAGCTGTCATGAAAAACATAGAGGGAGTTTTAAATTACTTTATGTCATAGCTGAGTGACTCCCTGCTGTATCTTCATTTCATTTATTTTTTTTTTCTTAGGAAGAACAACCAATGAAAAAAGTGTAAATTATTTAAACATATTTAACTGTGTTGAATGTTTTTAACTGAATACAGACAAAAAGTCAGGGAAAAGTTCCCTGGATTATTGCCTATGTTCCTTTTAAAATGTGACCTAATGTTTAAATTATAAACAATATTTTTAAATGATCAATTAAACATTCCATGTTGGTCTTGCAAATAAGCTGGAAAAATGTGAACGTTTCATTTTTTTATTTTTATTTTTTTCTTACAGTGAAATAATAAATTGAGTCAATAAGTCATCCTTCTGATCAGGATCAGTCTGAGATTATTGGCTAGTTTCTAATAAAAAGAAAACATTTACATTCAATCTTATATGGGTATATCAAAAGGAAAATGATAGAAATACACCTAACCCATCAAAAAGCCGTGGGATCAGAACTCAAAAAACTAATGTTACATTTCTGATGTTTGATGTGATATTTGGGAGACAATGAATCCTCCGAATGGTTAAAAACCACCTGTGAGCATTTGTTTATTTCTCCAAACATCGTTTGAAGAAACTGTTGTCTTTTTGTCAATGAATGATGAGAGCAGCAGAGAAAGCTGAGGAATTTCAAAGATTTCAATGATTGCACATCAGCCTCACCTTTGAGATTGTTATTGACTCTTGCTATTGACTGTAAATGTCTGCGTATGGTCGATCGATAGTCATGCTACAATACAATACTTGAAGGTCGTGTTTAGTCAAATAGAGAGCATCTGGAGAGAAGTTGAGTCAAGGCACCAGGATATAGATATAAGCACAAACACAGACATTGTTTGTCTGTATCTGTTCCCTCAAACAGCTAAATTGCTGTTTGCTGAAGAAAACATTTTAAATCCCTTGTAATGCTTTTATGAATTCAGCATTTGTACCAATAAGCCTCAAACCGATAATGACTTAAGTACCATGGTTACCTGAAGAAATTTTGTTTTGACTTTAGATTGTAAACTAGCAATGAGTCCTAATTAATCTGACACTAATTGAGTGCGGGTTGTGTTTGGTGCAGACAGATTTTATTCTCTTCTCTCTCATAAGCTGTGGACTAACGTGTGGAGCTGAGGGGGCAGCAGCGATTCCGCCCTTGATTATGCAAATATAACTCCACCGAAGCTAGATTATGGCTTACAAGTCATCATAATGAATGAAAATGAATTAGCTAATTATTGTGGAGCAGCTAAATTGTCTGCTTGTCTGTGTTGAGGGCAGTCAGGACAGTGAGCGTCAGAGATGGAGACCTTCCGCTTTGCACATTGTTTGGTAAAAAAAAACTGTTAACGCTCCTGAATTGACTTCTGAAAGCAGAGTGAGCCGCCATGCAGCTAAGACTGAGATATTATCTTTTTTTTTTTCCTATGACACCCCATTTCAGTAATTTTGTCAAGGTTGTGCAGATAAAGCCCAGAAGCTTTCTAACCATTTTGCTCTCAAGGGTATCCTGACATTCACATTGACATGCACTATTAGTCTCTCACAGTTCTAATCTTATTAAGCTATATGAGAGCATTTCTTCATTTAGCTCTAATCTTTGCATATGCAGAGTGCACCAACATGTCTGATCTGTCAACATCTCAACCTTTTAGATTTTATTCATTAGATAAAAAAGAGGAACATCTGCTTCAGCATTCAGAGATCTATTTGATGTTTTGGTAGCATTGAGGATTTAGCTTTACTACACAGCAACAAAATCAGAAAACTGAAAAAGATACAAAAAAAAACAACTTGTTCTGTCTTTTTCAGATTCATGTCTGTATTTCCTTAAAAATTTTGTTTTTTAGCCACAATCTGCATTGTATTGCATTATTAAGTCATCTGTGAAAATATTCCTCAACCTTGACACTGAACCAGTTGGTGTACAGTGGAAGAACACACAGTCCACTACTAAATGTGACAAAGTGCCTACTGAGTTCTTTACTTTTTACAATTTGTGCCAGCTGCAAAGTGTTCTTTTTAGTGTGAAAGCATTCTAAATTGGTTTGCTGTTTACTGAAAACACGGTTGTGCATAATAGAAAAGCTCTCAGTGGAAACAGTGAGAGCTCGTTTCACTTTTAATACATAAGCAGCTAATTTGCATATGCTGGGAGTGAAGAGAAATGCAATCACACTTGATTAAATGTTATTTTGTGTTCTTTTAACATTGCAAGCAGCTCCTTCTGGGTTTGGGCGGCAGGCTTACCGCCTACAGGTTAAACTTTATATACACCAAAACTGAAACGTGAGATTAAGATCCAAGAATTTCACACCTGCATTGTTATTTTTATTTACTTATTTTAGTACTTTGTAGTCTTCTTAATAAATTTTACGGCTCACTGCTGAGATAGTAATAGGCTAGTAGTCATATCTTTTGCATATTACTAGGATTTTATAATACAATACCACTTTCATTATTTACAAATTAGGGTTAGGTATCAAACAGTATAATAAAACATGTGTTATTAAGAACAAAACAGTGATTGGATCAAATTGTGATTAATGTTTTTATAGTATCAGAAGGGAAGCATCACATAAAGATTTGCATGAACCTGATTTGCTTAAGTGGTTCTCTCCTCATTTCCCTCCACCTCTGGTGCTGCCTGATGCAGCTGTTCTTGGTTTCTTGATGTTCTCTCTATGTGTATTTAGGCTCACCTGTGTTTCTTGGTGTTTTGTTGCATCCTCTGTTTAGCTTGGTTTAGCTCCAGTCAGGACTGTTATCCACAATCGCACATGTGTGTGCAGAGGTTTTCCTGCTGACAATAAAAGTGACAAGATTTGCTGCTTAAGTGATTCTGCTCGCTCTTCTTCATTAAACCTTGGCTAAACATGACAATCACAATAGATTTTTATTCAGTTAATCGAAACAATAAGCAGAAAATAATCATAGTTGTCTTTAATATATCATATTATTACCAGTGTATCAAGGTTCTTTGTACTGTAACATATTTTATGTTCTTGTTTTGCCCTTTATTATATTTACCAAATAATATAGTATTGTATCCTAAACAAAACAATGATTACGAGTGAATTTTGTTTGTGTTCTTTGATATAGCACTAAATCAAGAGACATTTATCAGCCATCAGCCATCTTTGTGGAGATGCCCAGCTTCTCAGCAGAATCAGCATAAAGTAGTCAGCAAACACACTCCCTGTTCATCTTCAAACAAGAAAATACACCACTACAAAAGATCAGGCTTGATTATGACTCAGAGCGTCTGACCCTGAGGCCGATCTCATCATACGCAGGCACATCACACAATGTTGCTGAAATGAAGTCTGGAATAATGAAGGTCATTCCCCACGCTGACATCCTGCACTTGGAAGCTCTGCTTCCACACTGCAGTCTGACCCATCTGTTAACACACAGACACGTCGAATTACGGCTTCTTTAACGACAAAACTGCACTCTTCACCCTGCTGGATCTCATCAGCTGAGGACAACAGATGCATCAATGTGCCAGCAGCGATGTAATTAAGCCAAACAGATTTAATGTAGCGAAGGACAGTGTCACTGGAAAACACAAAAACTATTTGAAACGAGAATGAAAACACAATGGAATAATTGCTCCTTCCTATATTCTGTCAATTCCTCACAACACTGCAGTACTCTGACAATGAACACATCACAACACATTAAGTGAATAAATTATGGACATTTGACGACAGTCTAAAAAAGGTTTTGTTTCAATTTAAAGATTTCATCTAACCAAACTGGAGCAGCTTCAAAAACAGGATCTGCACTGGAATAACAAAATTACCTGCAACCTTAACTGCTTCATATAAAAAGTAGTAGCAAAAAATGAGAAAAATTAACATTGCACTTCTTTGCCAAAATTACTTTTTTCCCTTGAAGACAATAAAACGAACACTGACTGCACTTTTATTTGATTGAAATCATCTTTTTAATACCCTTGATTTTCCCATTTTTTAAAAATCATCCGCTTCACATCAGATCTCAGAAAACACAAAGTTACCACTGAATTAACCTCAACAGTGTTCGGAAGAAGGTCCAGCAGAGACTTTACTTCTGGGCTGATCTTCCCTCCATGCAGAACTTTTACAGGTCTATAGTTAGAGAGACAACAGCTGACATCTTTGCAGATCCCACACAATCTGGACACAAACTATTTAGACTTTTATCTTTGCCACTATAGGGCAATATCTTCAACAAGAATATGTTGAGACAGTTTGTTCCCCTGGGTGGCTCTCCAATAAAAATGGCATATTTACACTATTTCAACCTTGTCTTCCTCTTGTGTGTATGTATTTACAATAAAAACATTTATTTTAATTTCCCTCCCTCTACATTTATATTTAAATTGTCTCCCTTGTGAGTCAAAGTCCTTGTTGATGTGCACAGATTTGGTGAATAAACCTGGTTCTCAATCTGCTTTCCTTCATTTTCTCTTTTCCAGACCACCAAGGCGGTGAACAAAGGAGACTTCTCACTGGCCAACATCGCCTCCCGGAGGGCTTTGTTCCTCGCTGCCCTAGCCATCACTATAGGCACCGGTGTTTATGTAGGAGTGGTGGTAGCTCTCATTGCCTACCTCTCTAAACCAGGACACATATAGCAGAAGCACCCTGTTTTCCATCTCCTGGGAGCCTGGGAAAAGAACAAACCCCCTCTGGGGAGACAGAGTTGCACCTGCAGACTTTGAGAAAACTTTTATGTGGATGTACAGTTTTTTTCTGTCTTTTCTTTTCCATCCACCTTCCTCTCTTTTCTGCCTTCTCCTACAAAAGACCATCTGGTGTCCAGGACAAGCCACATTGACTAGAGACAGACTAAGCTTCAGGGGAACGATGGGGGCACACAGGAAAAAAGGGAACTTTGACTTATTTGGCTGTTTTTATCTCCACAGATGTGATGACAAAGTTTCTTTCGGTTGACTTGGTCCTTGTTGTCTTTGACTGGATTTTATCTCCCCAGGTTCCTATACTGAGCTCCAAAGGAGAAAACAGAGAATATCATTCAGAAATCAAGTAACTGACTATCATCGTTAAAGACGCTAAGAAATAATATGCTCATTTAAACCAACTCTGCATTTATTACAGCTAATGTTATATCTCAAATTTCTTTGGGCAGACTTGTCTTGCAGAAATGCCAGCTATGAATGCACCTTCGTCTTTGACTCATCAGCTTGAACTATTGGCATTTGTACTGGACTGACTTCCTCACAAACTAGGAATAAGATTAAGAATAAATGCATCCAATGTCCAGATAATGTTAAGAAAGATCCTATAATTTTTTTTCTCCTTTTGTCCTGTCGCAACACAAACGTCATTGTAATTTGTTGTTATTTTCTGTGTAGACCAACACAAAGAATTGTATTTTGTATCAACTGAACTGTTTTATGCAATAACCTTTTGAATTGAGGACTGACTGCATGGTTGAGAATTCAGGACAGAAGGCACAAAAATCCTCTAAATTTTAGAATGTTTCTTAGAACGTCCCAAAAACATGTTTGTCAGGTTGCATAATCACAATGCTGTCCAACAGCATTGTGATTATGCAGGTAGCATAATCACAATGCTCCAGTCTCCACTGAGAGACTGGAGATGTCCACTCCAGTCTCTGAGTGTACTGGGGCAGATGCCCAGTCTCTGAGTGAACATCTGCCCCTGTCCACTGGGGCAGATGTATCAGTCTCTGTATCAGACTCAAAACTCTTGAGACTGATACACCAGTCCCAAGAGTTTTGGTGTATTTAGCTTTTCCCCAGAGTACGATGCTATCACCGCTGTTCAAGGTGAGAATGGCATGTTCAGAGTGTTTTGCAATGCTAGTTTTCTGCCAACATGATTAAATACGCTCTCCTCTGGCCAGAGGACCTTCTAACACACGTGTGCTGTTATCCTACGTAGCTCTTGGCAAACTGCTAATGGGAAAATATATGACTTTTTCTTGTCTCTTTTACACAGTGAATGGATTTCTAGAGTGGGGTGCACAGTTAATAGTTGTCTTCTTTACAGAAAACAACACCTGGCTTATGGACCTCTGAAGCTTCTGCATAGGGCTCTTGGAGGACAGCAATGGCTATTTAGTTGTGCTATACTCTACATGTTTGGATGAGTGAAAAAAAATACCATGGCCAATGTTGAAAACATGGGAGTTTGTCTGAAAAGCTACCCCTACTTTTGTCTGTAGATGCTGCTAATTTTCTAGAGTTCACAGAGCAGTCGCAGGCAAAAGGTTGTACTAGTTTTTATTTATGTACATCACAGGAAAAGGTACTGATCTAGACCACTCACAGAATTTTATTTGTAAGAAAAAACATGTATCGTTTCCTTTTTACTTTATTCGTATGTGCTAATTTACGTTGGTCATACAAAATCCCAGTAAAACACAATAATGTATGTGTTTTGTGAAATGACAAAATGTAAAAATGCAAGATGGCTCCTCCTTCAAGAGACTGTACAGAAGAAGATGTTGATAGAGGCTTTCTTCTCTTCAAAGTGTTAAATTGACATAAGTCACAAAAATACATATCGGTGCCTCAGTCCTGTGTGTTTCCACAGAGAAAGTGTCCAAACGCCACATTCACACCTGATGGAAGACAAACTCTTGGCGTCCCCTGTTGTTATAAAGAGGTCCTCACTAATCTCACTTTAAAGAATGTCAGAAGCACATATTTGAGTTCTCCAGATGGTCTCTAGGGACCAAAATAAAATATTTAAAATAAACCCTTGCCCATCCACAGGAAGGTAATAAATCATGTAGATAATATCATTTAAAAGAATGCCTTACATATTTTTCATGAATAAATAGAAAAATGCCATCTGACAGCTTTGAATTTTGCTCTAATCTGTTATTCAGTGCATGAGTCCTGCCATACCGGCAGTATACTGCAATGCATGATTGGTTGGACAGTATAACTTGTTTTTCTATGTCAAATAAAAGTTCAAGCTGCTGTAAAACAGACCACACTTTGCACAACTCTTGAATCTAAATTCCACTCTTCAGCTAGTAACAAAAAATAAATTAAAAAAATCTTAAAACATAGTTTTATGCCTTTAATGAGTGAGATCTTATTGAAGGCTTCATCTTAGCTGACTTGAATTGTTATTCTCTGGCATTTCAACTGACTCTTGTGCGCTGAAGGTTAGAAACCAGACATACTTTTGAGCAGTGAAGTCTTAGGAAGTTAGATGTTACATTTTCTGCACAGGTACTGCATTCTTTGCTCTGGACAATTAGGCTACAAAACGAGCTTTGCGGTGTATTCCCCAGAGAACAACCTTGAAATAACACAGCCACATTAATTTCACTAATAAGCTACGTTTGGTTTTGCTTGTTGCTGTAAAAACCTTTGCAAAGGTAAAGAGTTGTTTTCTTTAAATGAAAGCCAGTTTTGAGTTGCCTTTTTATGAAAGCCAGACACAGATTTACAGCGTAATGCAGACTGATTGTAACGGTTTATTTTTCGAAACTTGTCTGAGTTTTTCTGATCTGAATAGGCTGGCTTCATCGGCTCTTAAAGCCAAAACCCAACTGGACCACAGGTCACCACAGAAACTCTGGGTCTACAGGTTTCAGTGAACACACGCGTCATCCTCATCAGTGAAGTTATCGCGAAAGACATTTTCCTCCTTTCTGCAGAAACGCATTTACATGCATTCACTCATTGAGCGTGTCTTTCAAACCTGTTTTGTTTTCTGACCTAGTTCTGTACAGTATGTCAAAACGGTTTGTGAACTTTTCTGCTGCTGCTTTTATTTCTTGTCCAGCGATAACCTGAGTCCACGCAACAAATGCGATTCTTAATGCCGGGGTGACAGACGTCTGTTTGTGTTGTGCACATTTATGTTTTTGAGTTCTTTCTTTCTATTTTTGTGTGACTGCATCGTGTAAATAGTGTAAATAAGATGCAAAAGCATTCTCAAATGTACTGGAAAAATAAACCTGAACAGATGTGTGTCTTCTTAAAAGCACAAATGTTTTTTTTTTTTTATTATTATTATTATTTATTTTTTGATTGTTTTGTTCTCTGGGAGTTGAATAACTCGAAGATATATAATTATCTGAAACTATCCCCGCAGCCTGAGAGAATTGAGTTCATAAAGCAAAAAGCAAAGCCAGACTGAGTCACAGAGTGTAGGCTGTTTTGCTAGGAAGAGACAGAAACTTGGATCAGAACCAATCTCATTGATTTATGCAAGAAATAAAGCTGTTCTTGGAGTTGCTAATATGTAAATATAATACCAGCATCAAATCTAGGTCACAAGCAGCGTTTATTTTATTTATTTGACCAGTTTTATACATTTATTTACACTCTGAGTTCAATGCCCATGTCCAAAGTGTTTATAACTAGTATGCTACATGTCAGTTTTATCTAACATTCTGTCAGTGTTAGAAAGCAAAGACCAGCTAATGTCGTTTTTGAATTTGAGACCCAACTGATTTTAATCACCGCATCATCATGCTCAACATAGGCTTTCTTTAAATGACTGTGTTTATTACTGCACATTCAGTTTAAACATTGCTTGTTAGTTTTATAGTTATTGTACACAAATGCATCCACATATTTATTGGCTTTTAAAACTGAAGAGCTGCTTTTTCAGTTTCATTATGAGAAAATTGACTACATTCTGTTTTTATCACTGTAACAAAGCATGGCATTGCCTTATTTGGGAATATTTTTACTCAATTTGTCCAAATTACCAAAAATACAACACAGGTCATCAAAAATACCTATAGAAACATGCAAAAAGCTGCTCAGGAATTATAGGAAAATCTTTAAGTTTTCCACTGATTATTGAAGAAGACCATAGAAATTTTGCATTTAGAAATTTTAAATGAAACTGAATTTTTTTTCCAAGTCTTTTTAAGTTGCTAAAATATCTCTTGAGATTATTGGTTAATATTCTGAGCTCAGTAAATGAGCTGTTTCTTAGTGCATTTCTGGTGAAAAAAAAAAAACGTTGAAGGGTTAGTAGAGAAGCAATATTGTGATAACCTGAGGGTGGAGTTTCAGAAAGAACTGGCGTTTTAAAAGAGACCAATTTAAAAGTTTTAAATTACAAAGTCAAATTTATTTTAAGTTGTATTTGACATAAGAGCAGCAATTTTGTAACTACTGAAGGTAGCATCATGGCTAGATTGTGCCATAAGATGGCACCATGTTTCTGGAAATAAACAATACTGCCCCTTTAATTATTTTCCTAAAGAATCATCTTTCTCCAAAAGATTGCTCAGTTGTTTGTGCTTGAATGGGTTTTGTAGAATCTGGATAAAAGCTCCTTATCTTGAGCAGTCTGAATACTTCTTATTGCTAGTCCTCTACCACTGGCTCGCACATAATTACACTCAACTGGGTACAGATTGAAGGGGCCTTCTCAGAAAATCAATGAACATTGCTCTGCTCTTAGACACATTTATTAGAAGGAAGGACTCCACTTAACACCACTTAACGAATGCATTTATGGCTGGGCCATGATCTTGCTCCACGCCCTGCAGATTCTTTAGCGCATTAAGGGACAGGCAAGACGGTTCTTTGATGAATATGTAGAAAATTTAAAAAAAGCTTGAAACACAAAGGCTTGAGAGGACATAATGGAAAATGGGATCCTCTGGGACATGTTAATGATCAGCCACCTTGCAGTTTAATGTCCTTTCAGATAGAATCACTGATCTACAGCTATGAATTGCAAATGACTAGTCATCTGATGCAGGAAATAAACCCGTGAAGACTTAATTATTCTTCGTGGGTCATGCTGTGTCACAGTACGTGCACACAGCAAGAAACTTGAGTTTAGTTCCAGCTGTGGAGAAGATCTCTTCGCAAGAGAGGAAAACATCTCGGGTTGCTGTCACTAAGCAAGCTGCAGAAGAACAGAGATGCTTTCGAAGTCACCGGGAGTGAGCAATACTCATAAGCAAAACGAAATAAAAGGGTGTTTTTTTTTTGTTTTTGTTTTGTTTTTCCCAGCATAAACTAGCAACGCTCATCAGCTGACATAAGTGGGCTGAATTAATAAGCACATATGGATCAAAGGAAACTGATTATGTTTTACAGAGTTCAGGAAGCTTAGCTGAAAAAAAAAATAAAGCTGATGTGTTTTTAAAATAATGTGATCTTGTGTGTCCAATAAGTGCATTTTAATGGGCTATTTCATTTACATCTTTACGCTTGCACTATGAAAATTATTGCAAAAATTATTAAACGGGATATTCTTGATCAAGTCACAAAAACAGCCTCTTGATCGAGATGTTGCTTGATTTCCTCCTCTCTAAATGACTCGGGTGTCATGATGCCAAGAAATTAAATGCATACATGTTAAAATTAAAATGCCACTGCTAATATGCTAAAAAAATAAATAAATAAATAACTTGCTAAAAAAATAAATAATGTTAGATTAGCTTGCCTCTTTTGTTCTGATCTTTCTGACAAGTTTATTTCTCAGGCGTCGTATTCCACTCAAGCATGGAGCAGCACCCAGAAACCCTATTTTACATCTGCTGATGATCACCCACCCACATGACAGCATGTGGGAAATCATCACAACAGTTCAAATAAATATTGCTGTAAACCGTTTTGTTCACAGACGGATTAGAGGGGGGGGAAAGACACGCAGAGCAGCTTCCAAAACAAGGCATTTGTGTTTTGATTGCAACGTGTGTGTGCAAAATGTCCCTCAGCAAATTTCTATTGGAAGCTGACTCCTTTTTTTAGCTCCTGTCGTATAAAATCTAAATCATATTCAACTTCCCTCAAAGGATTTCTGAGGTTTATCTTGGGACAGTAAATTGTGCTTCTCAAAACTGACAAGCGAGAAACTTTATACTCATCACATCATCGAATCCCTACAGCAGTAAAAACTGAAAATTGGGCCTAAACATCACTTTAAGCTGATAGCACAGATAGCAGGTGTTGGTTCTGTGGACTGTGTTGTGAATATGAAGTGGAATATCATTTCACCATGTTCTCAGATGAGGGGGAGACTCTTTTTCTACACGGTTGAGTGAATCTTTCCGATCACTGGCATCCACTGAATCACATCCGGCTGTGTCAGGTTTTGACCAAAATACAGCCACAGCAAGACCTTTTAAGAAATAATAGAAAACTCAGAAGAATCAAAACACACAAGAATCATTATAAGTTCATTCCTGGTATGACTAACGGCAGTCCAGGTACCACCACTGGTTCTGTTTCAGAACCAGAGCCGTAAAGGTTAGATATAACATTGGTTCTAATTTTAATGTGCTGTGTCTCTACATACATGCTGCATGGTTCCCTGTAAGTACGAATCTATGAATTACATTCAACAGACTGTATTTATGTTTTACGCAGAAGACACCATCATATTTGGTAACTCCTAGCAATGCTAGCAAAATCTTGGATTTGCTAGCATCCAAGATTTTGCTTTTAAGCTATTTTTTGCTAGCATCCAAGATTAAGCTTTTAAGCTTAATCTTGGCAAATTTCATTTTTGAATAATGAAATTTGAGTTGCTGTACAGTCGCCCACTGTGTGCGACATATTTAAGATAATATAGACCCTCAAAAGTAGTTTGAAGCCAGCATTATGTTTTATTTGCATTGGACCTCTGACGTGTCCAGGACATACTACACCTTCTCAATGACTGCTGGCCAAAGGCACTCGCCCTGTCAAGGATAAGTGTGTAACTCTTGGAGAAAATGGCAGCAATTTTGAAAGATGCTATCAATCTTTTTTTCCCTTGGCTTTGATGTAATAATCCAGTGATTCATCTGAATGCTCATAAGTCTGACCTTGGGGAGAGTTTGCTGGAAAAGCAACCATCTATAAGTAATGTCTGTTACTTCAGAAAACACTTTCCCACAATAGAGTGATTCAGGCATTATTTTTAGTTTGCTTTAAAATGATGTTGTAGCCTTACCTAAATTATCACTCAGAATGTTTTTTTCTTTTGCTTTCAGTGACATCAATTTGCTCAGGATGAAAAAAACTTCTAAGACAATAAATTGGGAAAATTTCTGCTTTCAAGACATAAGTTCAAAGCATATTCACCTTTTAAATTGCTTGTTCTAAATCTAATTGAAAATTGATGGTCAAACTTGAAAACTGCAAGTTCTCCATCCAATATATTTGGCATTGAGGTGTTTCACTAAGTGGAACATCCAATAAATTTAGTAAATGAACAAAGTTGGCAGAGACATTTCCCTTAAGTATTGCAGCTCTAACTGCAGCTAAAGGTGCTTCTGCAAAGTACTGTGGGGGCTGAATACAAATGCATGCCATACATTTTAAATTTATCTATATAAAGGAAATGAAAACGTATTTTTTTATTCAGCTTTGCATTATTGCACTATACTTTGTCGTGAACTAACACACAAAATTTCAACATGCATTGAAGTTTGTGTCTGTCTATTAAGAAAATCAGAACAATGCTGAGTCTCTGGTGGAAGATAATTTAATCAATAAAAGCAAATATTCTCTCAGTCTAGACTCACACAGTTTGCATTAGCTTTTTACCATTTTTATTCATCACTGTTTAAATTCATGTACTAATATGTCTCATTTCAAAGATGTTGACCTATTGCTTCTGCCTGTCTAGGTTTCATCCATGAGTCTGTGGATCTTTCTGTGGATGTTTCCTGGAAATCCTTTTCAAATGCAATGAAGGCAAGGGATTTCATGTTTTCTCATAGCTCTGACTTTTATCTGGCTGCTGCACTAGTCAGTTTGTCTGCAAGCAGAGAGGGGAAAGGGGGGCTGAGATGAAACTAATTTTATGGGTTTTGAAACCCACTGGGAGACCAAGACACCCTATAAAGATTTATTTATCAGCTGGAAAGCAACCAAAGGAAAGTGGATTCAGAAAAAGGCAAATCTTATGTTTATCAGATTGCACAGAGGAATCTGTGAATATACGACTTTTAAAAGTTGGTCTGAGGCAGCAGCTGCCAAGGCAGAAATACTCTTTTGGAAGATAAGGTCAAAAGTACA